AGCAACCTGATCTAGTGAGGAGGTGTCCCTACCCATGGCAGGGGCGGTTGGGACTAGATGATCTGTAAGGTCCATTCCAACCCTTAAATTCTATGATTCTATGATTTAAAGACATGACCTGACTCCTTTTGAGCTTGCCTCAGAAAATACCACCGGAGTCAGCTTCAATGGAATTTCTCCAAGTTTTCTTCAGTGCGCAGGTACAGATAAGGTGTCGAAATAGTTCTGAAAAATCCACTGCTGAATTTGCAAAGAATCAATTCCTATCTTAATCAACACAGAAGAAGCTGTGTTATGTTCTTGCAGTGCCCTTCCACGATTTTGGGGGTGACACCCATTGTTCCCAAGACAGGCACGTGGTAGGAAAGGGAAGAACATGGAGATAAGGTGGGAAAATGACAGAACTGCATTTTCAGGCGAATATTCTCCCAGGCTTTCTATAAGCTTGCTTTTGTTAAAGACATTCCCTGAAGGCAAGCAAAAATTTCCAATTTTGCTGAGCACTTGAAGTTGCAAGTGCTTGAATTTTTTTGCTGTCCAGATGCTTAAACTGCAATAGCCAAGGTAAGTTTTGCTTTTGAACTTTAAAAAACCTCAACCCCAAGCACTTCTCAGGGGCAAAATGACTGCTAATAAGCCTGGGGAACTAAGGACAAGAGTTATTTGAGATTTTCCAGACTCTGTTTGACATCTTGTCTAAGTCCTGTACATCAGACTTAGCCTGCTGTACAGGCATTCCTCACAGCACAGGGGCACAGGACAGGGGCACAGCAGAGCAGGAGTGGGAAAGGTGTGAAGTGGTCCTTTGGAAGGGAGAAGGCAGCTTGTAAAAACATCCACAGCCTAAGCTAAGTTCCCTTAGCCAGATACTAGGCTTGATATTAGGAGCAAGGAATATCCTTTAGAAACCAAATGAAATCCAGAATTTCTCTGGGGATGGATGAGAGCTGACAGGTACATCTGGGAAGCTGGCCAGTGCATCTAGAGTTCTAAATAGGAGCAGAGTTCTTTGGAAAATCTGGTTGTAACTTAGACTGAGCAGATGCTCTGCCATTTCCACAAGGCCTCTGTACTCCATTTCTTTCCTTGTCTGAGTCTGTTACAGACTTTACAGTAGAGTTGCACATGGCTTGTACTTGTGCTTTTAACTGACAGGAGCATAGCAGCAGTGTTACCATTCTGAGAGTTGCTGCAATAACCTGCCCTGGACATCCCCTTTCTCCAGCAGGAAACTCCCTAGCTACTTAGTGTACGGTTATTGTGCAGCAGGTAAGGACTGAAGCTGAATGCAGTGCTGTTTGATTGCAAGAAAAGGGACTTTTCAGAGAGCCAAGTGCAGCTATCTGGGTTGGATTTTACCATCTGACCATCACTGGTCAGATGTAGGGTAACAAAATGGCACTGTCCTGAGCATCACAGTGCCCTTTTGCATCAGGGTAGGACATGGTGGACAGAGTCCTGTTCATTCAGCTATCACAGCTTCCTGTGATGCCCATGGTTCACAAACAGTCTGTCCCTTCCATGCCTGCTCATGGGAGGAAAGAGCTAATCACTCCCATGTTACCATGCCCTTCAGGCCTCTTTACACTCTGCCTCGTCCCCCGGAGGCTCTGTTACTGTGCAGACAGTACAAACGATGTGCTCTGCCTCTCTCTGCAGGATTCACCTTGAGGACCTCAGCCAAAGTGTCCTGCTCCATATGACTGAGAAGCTTGGCTACAAGAACAGTGATGTCATCAACACTGTGCTCTCAAACAGGGCAAGTCACACGCTTGCCATCTACTTTCTACTTAATAAGAAGCTGGAACGCTACTTGGCAAGCCTTAAGGTAAGTACTGCTGGATGCTGTTTCTTTGGACGAGTTGGTGAGGAACATAAAACAAGCACTACAAGTTTCCTGCTTGCTGACATTTGATCTCAAAGCTTTACCCGATGTTTGATCTTTTTTTTTCTACTTTTGCATCAGAAACCATGAAGGGGAAGTATTCCTTGCAAACTAATAACATTGCTTCAGGTTGCAAAGATAATTGCTGATAGGCTTTGTGTCTCACAGGTCTCTGTTTCCATGGGAGATATCATCCAGCTGGGCAGTTACCCTACTGAAAGCAAACTGTTGCCATGCAGAGAGCCTTACATGCATGTTGTGGCATGCTGTGCCTGTGCGTTGAGATATCAGTAACACCATGTCATTTGATTCAGGAGATCAAGAGGAAGCCTAAGAGCTGTTAAGATTTTATTTAGCTGAAAGTTTTACATGATCTAATCTCGTTTGACCTTCCTGACCCCTGAGTATGGCTTGGGCCTTCCAATTTGACAACAGCTTCTTAGTTTGTTTCTTTCCTCAGGTCTTTTCGCAAGATTGTTTTAATGGTGATGCCACCAATGATATTTAAAATGTAATGGATCAAATTCATCATTCCTGTAAGCTGATGCTCCTCCAGTGAATGCCAGGATTGGATACAGTCCACTGTGCAGTAATTGAATGTTAGTTCTATAATTATCTTACATATTTTATTTTTCTGTGCTTTTCTCTCCACAGAGGGCTGAAGGCCAGGACAATATTTACCACAAGAACCAACTATACCAGATAGAAAAATACAAGGCAAATAGAGATTCCTATGAGGTAAAGCTCATTAAAGCTTGTTAAAATGCTTTGAAAGCAGATTGAATTTGAGCATCCTTGGAGATTGTGATTAAGGTGATGGGTTTGTGAACCTGTGGAAGAAAAAAAAAGGACCTGTGGTCTTGCCTGCATGGGACAAATAATTCCCTCAATTTCTTTTCCAAGGGAGAAATGGCAACCCCCATAGAGTGGAAATGTAGAGGTGACTTTCAGGGTTTTTTAATAAACTAAAAATTTTTAAACTGTTTAGCAAAATAATGCAAATCTACTCAGGGAGCTCTATAGTTTCATTCTAGGGTGCAAGTTGCTGGTGTTACAAGAAGATTGAGAAGTCTTCTTGAGACTCTCCTTGAGCCTTGAGTCTCAAGATGGTGGTGGTGTAAGGCAGAGCACTGAGTGACAGCCAGGGTGACCTGGTGTCCTGGGCCAACCCTGGCTTGGCTGCCAGAAACAATGACACTGCATTAGCACAACAGTCTGTCTAGGTTAGGGTTTTTTGCTTCTTAGCAGAAGTGGTGCAGAATTAGCCTTCTGCATTTGTGAGGGACTTGTCCAGACAAAAGATTTAACCAGGTTACCTTTTGCTCTGTTGGTCTCCAGCCTTTTTGCCTGCAAGTTGAGAAGGTATTTTGTATTAAATCATGGCTGGACTTTTCTTCCCTGGCTGATTCTTTGCCAAGCACTAAAATTACAAGGGTAATATGAGCTGTGCAAATCTTCCCTGCCAACACAAAGAGCAGTATACTTGAGGAGCCTGTGTGTTTCAAAAGCTACTCCTCAGCACCAGATTGATGATCTAATTGCAGGGGCAGATTTGTGTCATGGCTGGTTTTGTTTATTATAAAAACTGCTTACAAGACAAGCTGAACTGCAAGCCAGATGGAAATACCAGGACAAAGTACTTATCATTCTCTCTTTACATAAATCAAAACCCACCTCACTGAAAATGTATCAGCAGTGAGTAGATTCAATGAATGTAATATTTCACAACACTCTATGACAGCTTACTTCAAGCTGCCTGTGTGCCTGTACGTAGCTAAGGGAGAAATGCACGGTCTGATTCGGTGGTGGTCCTGAAATCTCCATGCACCCAGAGGGGAACCAAAGCTTGACTTCCCTAAGGATAGCCGAAAACTAGCAGCAATGCCAGTGTATGACCCAGGTTTAGTTTGTAGGCATGCTTAGGGATAAAAGCTCCCTCAAAGCCTTTCCTGCACTCAGAGTTAGTCCTAGGGTGGCTATTTAGAGGATGAGGGGGTGTCATCGCTTTCATGAAATAGTTACCAGGATGCACTCACAGTGCAGACACTGTAATAATGATAACACAGTATGTTCGCTTTCTGCATGGGTACAGCTGAACATAGAAGTGTTGAAGGCCAGGTTGGATGAGGCTTGGAGCAACCTGATCTAGTGGGAGGTGTCCCTGCCCGGAACTGAGGGGTTGAACTGGGTGATCTTTAAGGTCCCTTCCAACCCAAGCCAGTGATTCTGTGATCTTATTAGCTGTATTTACATGAGGAGATTGTTACCCTTAGTACCAGGACAAGTGAAGCAGCCCACATAGGTGAATACAGACCCTGGGATGCTACTGCCTTGTGTAACTAAGGTAGACATATCTCCTAAAATACCTTCATGTGTGTGGGAACAAAGCCCTGGTAGTGGCTAGCTCATGTGACTGGGATTAGCAGGTGCCACTGGGACTCAGGGCTAAGGGTTTTGTAAGCTCAGATGAGCTGGAGATATCCTTTCCCCTTATCCTTTCCCCCCATTTCCAGAGTGGGAGCTGAGAGGCACTGGTCCCTAGGCAGGCACAGCACAAGAGCAGAGCTGTATGTTGCCATGGGAATAGCAGGGAGAGAGATGGTCAGCTGCAGCTTCAGCAGACCTGAGTTTCTTCCACCTCACTCCAGAGATGTGAAATAAGGACTGGGCCTTAGGCAGAGGCTGCCAGCAGCTAAGAGAGGCAGGGGGCACATTGGCAGTTGTCATGCCCAGCCCCTCTTCTCCATTAGGTTTCCTGATCTGGGGTGGTGAGATCAGGGTGCTGGGAAATCTGTCAGTGCCAAGTAACAGGCTGTTTGCAGGCTGGTTTCACTGTAGTCTCAGTGTGGATGGGCAGTGCAGGGAGGAGGGAAGCAGGCAGCAGTCTGTGTCTCTCTCCATTGCTCTTTTGTGGAAGAGGTCTTGGGATAGGTGGCCATCCCTCCAGGGGAGAGACTGGGAATACCTGCCTCCCACAGGGCAGCTAGTGAGCTCAGACTTGGGGAATCTGCAATTTTTAAGAACTCGTGTCCTTGTCCCATCACCATTTCAGATGCAGCCAAGGTAAATACCCTTTATCTTCCTTTCAAACCCATTGCTGGGACTAAGAGTAGGTTTTAGGGTCAAGGTCAGGACAGGAAATAGCAGAAGATGATGTAATGCTAAACCTATTCAAGTACAACATACAGGTACAAGTCCTGCTTTGTGGGACAGCAGGCCACTACATGGCCCTGCATGCTACAGTGAAGAACAAACTTTTATAACTCCCCTGAATGAAATCTTCCTTCCCTTTTAAATTATAATAGTCTATGGCATGTTGAGAATTTGGGACTTTGGTCATTTCCCCTCTCACAATTTTGATTGATAAGGAGCAATGTTGGTAATACTTAGACTATTTGCAGTGTTAATCCAGTGTAAACTAATTGCTAACACCAGATACGTGAATTTTCTTTGTTGTGGGTGTGATGTGGCTGTGATACTGTGGCTGAGGAAGTAGAACAACAGGACGAAGCTGAAGTCAGAAGCGCTTGGCAGGTGAGGAGCTGCAGCTTGGCTCTTGCACCATTAGGCTAAAAATAGTGCAGCATTGAAACGTCCTGCACTCTGACAGATGATGCAGCAGGCCGACATGCAAATGCTTTCCTTACCTATCCAAAATAGCAGAAGGCCACTAACAATCTTGATTGCCTCCTTTAGGCTTAATGTAGTCACCACTTAGTCTCATCCTCACCAGTATGTTTAAAAGAAGATCCTTGGTAGAGCCCAGTCTCTGCTGAACTTGGCAGCAGAATTTCAGAGCCTTGAGAGGAAAAATAGTGTGGTGGGCTCAGAATTAGCCGTACACCTTCCCCTATTGTGGCAGGGTGTTATTTACACAGCATTATTATTATTATGTTTGTTGTTGTTATTATTATTGTTATTGTTATTATTATTATTGCTACTACTGCTGCTGTTACTGCTGCTGTTATTGCTGTTGTTACTACCTCAGCATTGTCGGGAGTGACTGTGCTTGCTGAGGCCATGCCTGGGCCCGATTCTTTGCTCTGTTGCTTCGAGCACAGCATGGACAGGCAGGAATGAAAGCTTGGTTCCAGAGGTGTTTACAGCCTCTAAAGGCAAGGCAAAGACATCAGATGGACAAAGGTATCATGTGAGCAGAGTGATGCTCTGTTTTGTTTCTGTGGAAGGGTCAACCAGCTTTGGCTAGCTAAAGGGAAAGGAATTAGATAAGGGATGGATGTAGACAAGGCTGAGGGCAAAAAATGTGTGCACAAAGGGAGACTGAGGTGAAGACAACAAGGAGCTCACAGAGGGTCTTTGGTTCTTGCTCTCCTAAGTTGTCTACCTAACCACTTTGGTAATAAGACTGAAAACTTTAGTTTATGATTCACTTGAAGCTCTTCCCTCTGACTCTGTAACTCCTGAAAGGTTAATGAGCCCAGCAGTGCCCAGACACTATCTGTGCAAGGAGCCAGGCTCTGTCTGAGCTGGGAATGCTCATAATGAGTGCAGTCCAGGTATTTGCCTCTTAGGTGTCTGCCTTTGCTTCCGGAGCTGTTTAGTGGCCCGAGATAACCTAAGTTGTCTTCTGCATCTCACATGTTCCTCTATCATGTGTTTGCACATTGCTTTGCATTTGAGGGTTTTCACAGACTCCACACCAACGAACTTGCAAAAGAAAACCAAGAGGGCCAGGCCTTTGGCAGTGCATAATTATCAGACAAAACACAGGCACAGAATTGGAGGAAGCAACTTTACTGCATTTTTTAAAAAGGACTTGTGCTTACAATGGCTATTTAATAAGATACAGTAAAACATGTTGTTTAAATAAGAATTATAACCACAGAAACAACCCCAAACCAATCAAAACAAAAGCCTCTCTTTGAGATGGATATCTCACACCAGACCACACAGCTTTATTCCAGAAGGAAAGGAGATCCTTGAAGCCTCTGAGGGGTAGCAAAACTAAGCTACAAATCTGATGCCTGATTTTTTGAACATGAAATAAGACTTTTGGCTACTTTGGAAATCAGTGGCAGGTAAATAGTGTTATGCAGCTTGCTGAGTCCAGTGATTGAAAGAAGATGCAGTGAATTTTCCCTGTAGGAACAGTGCTTTGAAAATTGGATTCCTCTTTAGAGTCCTACTCCCAGGTTCTGTTTTTCCTCTGTCTTCACTGGAGATCAAACTTATCTTTTAGGATATATGATCTTGCAACCCCACCTTCAGCTGCCTTCCCCTAACTAGGAGTTAGGGCTCAGTGAAGGGGTCATTAATATTCTGCCCCTCCATGTCTTGTGCAGTTGCAGAGATGCTGTAAAAGCAAGGGCTGTATCCCTTCAGATCTGGTTTGGACAGAAGATAAATGACTCAAAGAGTTTAAATTTCTTTAAAGCTTTGCCGGTCACCTTTTCCAATGTCAGAGGAAGTGGAATAAAAGGAAATCAAAGACCTTTTTCAGTGCTTAAATAGGGTCTTTCAGGTATGGAGGAGCCCAAACCTGTATCTGCTTGCTCCAATGAGGACAAATGGCCTCTGAAGAGAAAGCTTTCCTTTTCCTTTAATTTTGCAAACACAACTTTTGCACTGCCTGAATGGCAGAGCAGATGGGAGCCATGAAATCATGTCAAACTGATCAGAGGAAAATGAGACATGGAATATTCTGAGTAGTCAGGATAAGTTCCTTGTTAAATATAGTTCTTCTTTCAGCTCTGGTAAGTGAAGTGCTTGTACATCTGGGGGTCACTGAAACTTCCATTGAGTAAACCAAATTGTTCTTGTTTGTTTTACAACTTAAAGGACAAAAAACTCAAAGAGCAAGAAAAGAAAGGGGAGATTCTTCACTGTCAGCTCCCAAAGAAAACTGAGAAAAGTCCAGTTTCATATAGACAGCCTTCTTCCTGTCTTATCTCACAGATACAGAACACCAAGGCTCTGCTGAAGGACCGAAAAGCCACCAAGGCCGGAGGTCCAGAGAAAGGTCAGTGGGAGAAATGCCAGTGGTGCATCTCTGTGTGCATGTGCATGTGTGGGCACATGTGGTATTAGTGAGCTTGTAATGTGTGTTGTGTGTTTGTGAGTAAATAGTCCTGGGCTTGCACTGGCTGTCAGCTCTGGAGGTGGTGTGTGAAAAAGGACTGGAGAATGTCATCAAACATTGAATGAAACGTCCTGGGGAAACCATGATGATGTTCAGCAGTCATGAATCCTCACTTTTACTTCTCTTTGTGTTTGACAGAATTCCTACAGTGTTTTAAAAAAAAGCTTTCTTTC